TCGGCACCGAGGGGGCGTTTATGCATTCCAGTCGACGACAACCGGCGGGAGCCAGCCTCATTCCGAGGGCCTGCCGCCCCAGCAGTTCACGCTGCTCGCGGTCGGCAACGACGACCAGGATCACCACGACGCCGACAATTGAAGATCCAGCCTCTCAGTCCGAACGCGCGGGGACCTTCGCGCAGCTACGACCCCTACGCCTGTTCCGACGCTAGCATCGCGACCTATGATCGGGAACTGGCACCCACGGGCGTAGCAGCATTGGCACCACCAGGCACGTGCACACGCATCGCCCCACACTCTGGTCTCGCCCCCACTGGCGTCGACATCTCCAGCGGCGCGGCGGACGCCGACTACCGCGGAGAGATCAGGGTCATCACGCACAACACCCGTCCGCGGTCCCACGCGGTTGACCAGGGCCACCGGATCGCCCAGCTCATCATGAAACGATAACGACGACGCCGAGATAGTGGTCGCTCCCAATCTGCCTCCGTCTCATCGGGGGTCGGGCGATTTCGGGCACGCCGGCATGGTGCACCTTAGCCACGACGCCATCCCGAGCAATTTCGGCCGCGCGACTTCCGAGGGCCTGTTCGGCACCTACGGCGCCGGCGGCCCCGAGGAGTCGGCGCGCCAGGAGATTGCCGAGCGAGTCCGCCAGGCTGGCCCCGCCGACCTGCCTCGGTAGACATGGGCAGCAGGACCAGGACGCCCCGCCCAGGCCCTGGAACGGCGACGGGACATATCACAGGCATTGTAGGACTACGGCTCCGATGTTATCTGCACCACCGATTACGAGGACGCAGTCGAATCGTTGTCCAGCGGCACGCTTCCCAGTACAATTTAAGCATTTGGTGGATCACATTCGACACCCGGGACGAGGCACGCCTCAACCTTGATTCCTTGCCTCTTTGGCGATCCCAGATCAAGATGTCAAAAACAATGACATTGCGTTCGTGTTGTTGCATGGAGCACCCGGCCACAATCAGTTTTTAGTGCCAATACTCATTCTTTTCATAAGGCGAGTGGCAAGCGCGACCCCAAGTGTCACAATCAGGACCACAGAACAAGATCATCGAAGACAGTGTGTTTTGGGGATAGTGCCAGCGGTCCTATGGCGACTGGCAACCGCGGCACCAAGCAGCACACTCAGGACACCAAGCCGCACATTCAGAACCATGACAGCAGGCAGCACAATCAGAACGACAAGCACCAGCAGCCTCGGGGGGCGCCTGGCAACTACGTTGCCAGCGCTGGCCCCGCCCCATAGAGGGAGGCATCTGGCGACTACGCTGATAGCGCCTACCCCACGGCAAAGCGCATGCACAAGAAGAAGAAGAAGGAAGGTCATGTGCCTAAGGCTCGGAAGCAAATCGTCGAGGATCATTACGACGGCTGCGGATCCGACCTCACATCCCTTGCCCCTTGCGAGCTGGGTCACGCTGGCGAGTTCGAAG